TAACTACGGACTTTAATATGACTTTCCTGATTATTGTGCCTATTTATTCATCAATAAATATTAATAAAATACTTGTCATTTTATTATTTCATTTTTATGTTGTTTGACAGTATTGAAATTGAGCATGAAAATAGCATAATGGTAAATAGCTCTGCATGAACTCAGGGTTCTGGATGTGTTAATATAATTGTAGCTACTATGTTGATAAAACTGATGGTCATATGTATCAGTTAGTCTTGCACAGGCAAATTTCTAGAAGTTATTTTCTGAAAATTTTAAACTATTCATAACTAGATGTATAAGTGGGTTATTTATCATTGTAGTATTCCGTTTGTAAATAACATTTGGGGAAATTAGCTGGCTAGAAAGGACAGAGCAGTAGGAGACAGACAGAAAACAGGCATAGAATATTCAGCCTTCTAATCTGAAATAAAGTTGGCCATTAAGCCTGTAGGGCTTATACAGCCTAGTCTTTTTATAGGATCTTAAATTTTGATGATACCTTTCCTTTGCTCTTCACCTTCCTTTTCCTAATATTTGCATCATATAAATTCTAAATATATTGCACTGATTTAAAGATGTTTTCAGACTGTGTGTAGGATTTTAACATATTCATACAGAAGTATTGGGCAAGCACCTGTACATCCCAGCAAAGCCTAAAACCTGGCTTTGATCTTTTCATTATGTGTAATGACTTTTAAAGACATATAGATACTTTAGTCTAAAACAAGCCAGAAGTTGTGCTTTGACTTGTTTTGGAAAATCGCCTTTCAGCTTTTCTCTCCCCTAATCAGCTGTTTGACCACTTACTTTTTTTCTTGTACAGTAGGAAAGCCATCAAAAGGCACATATTTCTTGTGTTACAGTTAGGATGGATTCCATACGAAAGCAGGAAAAGAAAGAACAACAGTGGTAAATGTTATTTTTCAATTATTTAATTGTCTATGTCTTTGTGTGGTTCATGAAGCAATAGAACTTGTGGCAAGCTGTTTGTAATGTGGCTCTCTCTGTATATGAATTTATTCATAGGAAGACAAAGTAAAGCATGCCTTTTAATATATTAAGGACATACATATTTTGACACTATTAATCTTAGCATTGTTTCTCTAAGCCCGGACTGATGTTTTACCAAATTCTACAAATCCAGTTGTATTTCAGGTTTGAATAACTTAACTGAATTTTTGAACACTTAAAGAGTAGTATATGCAGAGAAATGTATTTTTCTGGAATGGTAAGGAATACTTTACAAAGCATATGATAACAACTGTTGGCATGTTTGCAACTGGTAAATATAGGCAATATATCAAAAGGTTGATTTATTTACTTTGAAATTTATATATTTTGAATTAAAATGTCACTATTAAAAATATGAAACATATTAGGACCAGATGCAACTAAACATTGTGAATGATACAATGCCACATTATTTTTTTTTGAGATGGGGTTTATCAGTGACATTGGAATTGAAGATAAAGAACATACTTTTTTTTTTTGGTAGCCATACCATTACACTTATTAGCAATTGCTGATTTTAAGACATGTTGTAAAGTGCCAAAGAGTGGAGAAAATACTTGAGCCAAGACAACAAATACCACCAAAGTATAGTGATAAGTATTCTCTCTGTTTTGGTTTTTTTTTTTTTTTGAGTAATTTTTGGCCCCTTTACTCAAAAACTGAGTGCTTCCTAAGTATGCAGGAAAAGAAGTTACAGTTCGGGTTTTTTCCTCTTTTCATCTCCTATAGAAGAAATGAAGTGACATCCAGTTTTTCTGTTGGCTTTGCTGCTTAGCAGTGCTCAGTACATGTGCACATGCTTATAAATAATTCCTTTTTGATGTAATTTTTGCCAAAGTGCCCTCATTTGAGTGACATTTTTGCTCCATTTACATCAATGTTAAAATTTCCATTAGCTTCCCCAGGGCTGGGATTCCACCTGTTTTGTCTAAGTTCACTATAGTTCAGTCTCGTGTATTTAAAAGCATTTATATTTTAATTGCTTCAATGGAATGCAGTTGTCGTGACCGACAAATCTTGCAGAGGGCAGAAAGGATCATCTGGCGAGGAACAACGCCACATAAGGGCTTATACAACAGAACAGAAATACTAAGCTCCACATTCAGTGAGAAATAGCATGGTAAGGGGCGTTTCAAATTGATCTCCTTTTACAAAATTCTTTTCAAGTAGGATACTGCTGCTCTTAGAGAGTTTTTTCCAAGTTTACAGCTTCATTCCTGCACATGCATTGTCGTAAGCAACACAAGTTTAAGATGTGGATCTAATGAGATGGAGACAAATCTGTTAGCACTGCACAGACAGAGCGAATATGCTGCTTGGCTGGTTTGGATATTCTAATCGTGACGAAAGAGTGAAAATGAGTGTTAGCAATAAAGAAAAATTTTCTACAAAGTAAGTCAGTACCTTTGCCAGAGATTCTCTCACCTTTTCCCCCTGAATCCTGCCTGCAACTGCAGTCGTAGTAAAAGCTGTTCAGTGGAGCAGTTCCCCCTTGGTGCAGGAGATGGAACATTCTCTGCATGTCTGTGCTAAGTATGGCTTCAAACCTAAATTTCTCTTCTTCCTGTTTCTTGGTGTATTTGCCTTGGCTCTTGCCTGGATCCAGGTCTAATCCTGTCTTCTGTGTCTTTTAGCTAAACTCTGAGATAGCTGAAAAACCATGTTACCGCAAAGATAACATGGGATGTCATCCATTGTCTTCAGGTGCTTCAGCTCCCCCGACACAAAGAAAAGAAGACGATCTATAGAAAATGTTTTCTCTGGAGCGCATCAGTAACTTCAGGTGAACAAGCGTACAGGTGCTTGGAATTTTTAAGCTGTTTATGGTAACAAGAGATGTTTTGCCAGTTGTGGCTTTGCTTATTATTTTTTGGGGGTCATGACAGGGGTTTTTAAAGAGTAAGGTTTTTCTTGTTCCCAAGTTTCACATGACTAGTCATTCAAGCTGTATTTATTAACATGAACAGTGTTGTCCATAAATATGTATGGTGGCACTCCCTAACATTGACTTCCTCAACTAGTATAAATCACTGTAATTCCTTTGATTTGTGTGAACTAGAATAATCCTGTTTAGTTGAAGATCTGGCCCAGCGTACAGGAAGTGTATATGTTAGTCAGGGAAGGTTGTAGCAGTTTCTAATTCTTCTACTTACTACTTTCATGCAGATGTGGAGTGTTCTTTAAAGTTGACACGGCCCAAATAAGGTATTTAATTTTCTATTTGTAGTGTCAATATCTTGGTAAGTGAAGCAACACCCTTGGCTTAGGAATTGTGTTTCATTATTGCTTCATAGGAAAAGAAGACCTCATTTGGATCTGGACCTTCAAGCAATACTGAAATTTTGACAGACAGAAATATTTCTTTAAAGGATGAACTGATTGTATGTGCAACTGTTATGCAATTAAAATGTTTACCTAATTCAGAATTTACAGTGACTGAAATTAATGAGACCATTTATATTCATGTAACACAGATGAATCCAGGTAATTAGGACATGTAAATTAAGTAAAAAAAAATATTTTTTAGAATTTTGTAGCTTGAAAGAGCAATGAGAAATACAGTTCCTTTCAAATCAAAAATGATTATGCCTTTCACTAGGGGCAGAGCTTTTACAAAAGGTCTTTCAACTGAGGATCTCACAACTCTGCTTGAAACAGAATTAGGGCTCAACACTGAAGCCTTTATCAAGTGAACAGTCTGAAGGGGAAGGAAAGTGCTCTGATGATTTTTCAGCTGCGGGATTGGGCTCTTGCCCCTCACTCTGTGAGGTAAGACAGCTTTACTTTCTATAATTTACAGAATGAGCAAGCAAGAAGTGTGACTTGCCTAAAGTTACACCACAAGTCTGTGGCAAAGCTGTGGAATAAAGCACCCCAGCAGATGTGTATGTAAGCTGCAATTTCATCTTTCTCTTGTGATTCTAAGTTGGGAAGAACAACAACTGTTTTGAAATTCAAACCAGAAAGATAATTATGTCTTTCCATGTGATTTGTTGGTTATCCTGGCTAGCTATCTCAATTGAAATGAGGAAACACTTTCCAAAATCTGGTGGGTGTGTGGGAGGGTTTGGGATAAGGGGATTGGGAGTGGAAAAAAGTTTATCCTATGAATTTTCTGACCTGAAGACCATTTGGCTAAATTGATGTTAAGCTGATAAATTCTCATATGACCATCTTCAGGTTTTTTCCCCTGTCAGAACGATTCTACTAGAAAAAGCTAAAATATGTCTTGGATATGCATAAATGAGGTATGTTTACTTAAAGCCCTACTCTCTGTCTTCTGTGTATCTATTTCTAGTCATTCCAGTCCTCTCCATCCTTCTATCTGGTTTACATCTTTAAAATGCAATTCAGAAAACTGCCACAAGCACACTCGGAGAACCTGACAAAAGTGCAGTTTGGCACATTCAGATAAGACCCAGTGGCAGCACTCAGTCTCACTGTTTCATCACAGACAGACAATATTACAAGTGTAAGAACATTCAGGTTTGTAAATTATAGATTTTAAAAGGCAAAGCAAATGTCAGTAATTCGCTGAGCATTGCAGCATCAGTGCCATAAACAGGTGTACTCTCTTGGTTTCTTAAATGGCTGATTTTTAAATTTATGATCAAGTATATAAAATTAATGGCGTATGCTTACACTTAAAGGATAAAAGCTAGTTTCTTCCAGTGTGCTAATGTACGTAATTGATTCTTTACAACTAGAAACCAGATACTCTTTCATTCATGCATTCATCCCATGGCAGTCTAATTTATGGAACTGTGGTGCACTGTTTTTTTGGGGGGAGGTAGTAGGAAGAATTAAAAAAAAACATTTCTTACATTGTTACCTGTCTTGGGATATACACATATGATTATGTAGAATCTGTGTCTGGGTGTCTGTTTGTCCTTTCTTGCAGAGTATTCTTGCTCACTGAGTGGGAGGGTCACACTGTATGAGACTAATAAGGACAGAGCTGCATCCCCCTCTACCACTCTTTGGAGTCTTACTCCAGCAACTCCTCAGCACTACAGCAGCTCTGTACAGGCATTTTCAGTGCTTCCGGGGGACAGAATAATATAAACATTAAAGGTAAGCAACTCATTATTTGTAGTCAATTCTCTAAACATATCACATGTGCACACATACACACATACTACACTACTCCTGGCTTGTTTTGTGGTGGTTTTGTTGGTGGGTTTTTGTTTTCCAAAATAACCATTTAAGTTTATCACTGCTAATATTAACTATGTTTTGTATAAACATGATGTACACTGTAAGTTTTTAATGCACTGCAATCAGCCTATGCTATAGTATGCTTCTCATGACTCTGTAAATACATTGTATATGTTAGTGGGTGACTATAGGTATATGCAAAGATATGCTAATAGAAACAGCCCTATTAAATTAGCAGTAATTTACAAAACTGATTAAACTGTTGCAAATTGCCACAATTCTGACTGTGCATGTATTTACATTTAAAAACCTACCTATTAGTGTATGCTCTTGTAATTAGCTCGCGTACCGGGTGGCCTGCACGCAGTTAGTCGAACACGCCGGTGAGTGAGCTGCGGCAGCGAGTGCCCTCCGAGGAGCAGCAGCTGCGGGGCAGAGCCGGGGATGCCGAGGGGCGCGTCCCGCCGGGCTGGCACCAGCGCTGCCGACCCCGGCCCGCTCCCGCCGGCGGCGGCCCCTCACCTGCGGCCCGTGCAGGTGCCGGCGCGGCCCCGCGGCAGCGGCCCCGGCGGCACCGGCGGGCTCCCCGCCCCGCCGGCGCCGCGCCGGCCGAGCGGGATCCTGGCTCCGCTCCGCCCCGGGGCCCGCAGGAAGCGGCGGCGGGCGCTGCCCCTCGCTCGGCATCGCCGGGCCGGCCGTCCCGGCGCGCAGGAGGGTCCGGGGAGACGGGGGCGGGGGGCGGCGGGAGGGCCCGACAGCGGGGCCGGGGGGCGCGGAGCCGATGAGCTCAGAGAGAGAGGCGAGCGTCCGGCTGCGGGCGGGGGCGCTGCTCGGCTGCTCGCCCAGCCCGCCGCCCAAGCTGTCCGCTTGCCTTTCCGCCTGGAGTGCTGGACCTTCCCTCCGGCAAACCCGGCTCGATCCGAGAGAAATGAAGCTGCCGGCACTGCCGAGTTAAAATCTGAGCGGCCGAGGGCTCGGGTCGCTCCGCAGGCGCCCCGTGGGCTCCGGAGCGCCGGCTGAGCGAGGGAGCGGAACCTCCCGGAGCCCCCGGCGGGAGGGGACCAAGCCTGGAGGTGCGGCGGCAGCGAGGGGGTGGTGATGCTGGTTGTTAGAGCCCTTCAAAAAACGAGTCCTCTGAGGCGGCAGCTCTAGTGAATTCCCGATGCCTGCTTGCAAAGCAGGTGCAGGAAATTAAATGATAATGTTATTTGAACATATATTGGCTTCACTGCTGGTGGGGAGGCTGGAAAAGTTAATGATGGTGTAGTTGCTGTCAGTGCATGTGACTGACAGAATAGCTCTGATGATGAATAAGGTGCCCTGTGAAAATAATTATAAAAATTGCATCTTAGTTATGTGTTTTGCTTTTCTTACAGAAAGTGATTAGATTAGAGTTAGATTGGAATAATATTTGCTATTTTCTGTGTGTCATTAAATCTGCGTGTATCTATGCGTCGCAGTTGACTTAGAAGAAAAGCTGAACAATAAAAGCTATGTTCTTGAAGCCAGACTGTACATTTGTGAGATTTTAAGTGGCAATTAAATATAGGCTGCTTGCATATTTTGCAAGGTAAAGAAACAGCATATTTTGGTTTCTGTTGTGCTTAAACTGAAACAACTGCACGTTGCTCTTTGTTCAATTTGAAGACTACTTCAGCAGTAGTAGTCTTCAAAGTCACTGGAAGTGTTGTGACACCAAATAGTTTAGCTAATATATTGAAAATTGAAAAATAATTTGGGGAGAAATATAAAATTATTAATCACTAATTAAATGGAAAATCAGGGCCTTTACAACTAATATATCTGAGTTAGTTTTTCTAAGGTGTTACTTTGAAGTTCAATAAAGAACTAAAAAGGAGTATATTTGTCATTTATTTCTAAATTGACGTAAGACTTTTTGTAGCTCCTTAAGCAGATAAATTATACACTTGAATGTTGCTAGCAACTTTCTCTTCACAGTTAAGAAATTTTTGTTTGCAGTTTTCTGATGGAGTAAGGCGAAAAGAATAAGATGAAACTGTTCTAAAAATGCTTATTTTCTGTTTCAGATTCGTAGCTGATTGTTCATATGTGTTCAGGGGGAGATGAACTACATTGGATCCTGCATAATTTGGCTTTGTATGGCAGTCTTCCTCCTCCTTCCTGTTTCTACTTCCGTGGCTGTGAGTGACCAGACAGGTACTTCTACTTTTCTTGCCCATCACAGACCAAAGGCATAAATCTCAGTACTGAAAAATTTCTAGCAGATAGCAACAGCACATGGAAAATAAACAGTATGAGGAGATAAAATTATACAAGATCATGTAAATCTTTTTTTGTAGAATGTCCTAGGTTAGAAGCAGTTTCAAAATAGCCTTCCTGTGCTTGGAAGAATTGTGCTTGGAAGAATCGTGCTTGGAGGCAGTTGTAGATCCTAGGAGTTTTGTTTTGTCCTTTTTTTCCGTACCATACAAACCAAGATTATAAATCAAAGTTTGCGAAACTTTTGTGAACAAAGTCACATGGCTTTATTATAGCAGACTAGTTATCACACTGACCTAAACAATACTTCAAAGATCTGTATCTATCTGTATCTATCTTAGACAAAACCTTATGCCTAGTGGGGAAAAGGAATATAGTGATATTTTCTAACTTAAAAGCTGTTACCCATATTCTGCAAATTTTCTCATACTTCTTTGTTTTCTTCTTTCTCTGTCCACGTGTTATCTAGAATTCTCACTTAAACTCTACAGTAACTCTCCAGGGTGTGGTAAATTCTGTCTTAAAGGCACATCATGTGTGCTTCTCACATGAGGAATGTCAGTTTTCTGGAATTGCTCAGCCTCCACACATACCTCAACTTTCTATAAATTTCTTACATTTACTGGCAAGAAGAACATGCTTATTGTTATTTAAATGAAGTACTTTTTTTTTCAAAAATTAACTTAACTTTTAGTAATGCTGTTTTTTCCAGAAATCTGATGAAAGATAATAGAAGCTATACATACACAAAAACTTTGAATTTCAATAGCACATTCGAAACTCAGGCCCAAGAAATTAAAAAATCAGTGACTAGGATAATGATCCTTTTACTACTCCTGGAAACTATAAGTAGTAATATTGAATAAATAATAAGTGTAATGTGTGGGCTCTCAGGTAAGAGTAATGCATTGTGAAGAGTCTGAATTTAAGTCAAAGATTTCTTTCCCTTATATTTTTAGGGCAGCAAGGCTAAGTGCTCTACTGATGAATTATTCTTAATCCCTGTGAGAGAACAAACCTACATCATAGCTGTAAAATCATTCTATTCAACTGTCTGAAAAAAGCAAAATAGGTTGTATTTTCTGTCACTGCTAGCTGGTTAGTTGCAGAAGGGAAGTTTTTAAAAGTACTAAAATCTTGTGAGTGCAGAAGGTTCCCTAACAACATAAATGAATAAATGGAAACTTGAAAAATGTTAAAACAAAATTCCAGGAAGAATTTTCTCTTTTCTTCTATATTCTTTTTTTCCCCATAAAGAAAATATGTCTTAGTAAATGTTGGACATATGTGACAGGTACATTGAACTGCTAATATACAGTGTATCTGAACTCTGCATTACATTCTGTTAGAAGTTAGTGGCTAGGCAGCCAGCAGTGAAGTTGCTGTTTTCCTTAACCTGATTGTCACAAATGGAGCAAATATGGGTCCAATTGAACCACTAGGAAGAAGAAGAGAGATTGAACATATCCTGTGAATAGCTGATGGTGTGCAATTGAGAGATGCTTCTGCAGTTTGTGGAGATACAGGCAGATGGTGAGGAATAACAAGTAGATAGCTGCCAGCTTGAGCAGCTCTGCCAACAGCAGGGAATAGGCTCAGAGTGAAGCCTTAAGTTGATAATGGGAAAGAGACTCTTCTAGAGTCTGTAGGTATGGTTACTGTCCAAAAAAGAAATACAACTTGTAGACCAGTAAGCAGGAGTTGAGAAAGAACGAACCCCGTAATGGAGCAGCAGTAAAACGAATACAGATCTTTCTGCAAACCTTTTGTTAATCTGCCCTGCTCAGCTGACACGAATACTCTGTGTTGCAAAGTAGTCTTGCTACAGTTTGATAATTTATATGCAGATGAATCTGTTACAAATTGGAAATATGCTCACTTCAAGAAGAGAGGAATAGCTAACCTCTTTTTTTTTTTTCCTCCTCCTATCTTGCATTAAGACACTCTAAGTCATTCTTTCTTTTGTCTTTGTTCTCTCCAATGCACCGATTCTGTTTGGATCAGCATCTGTCCCTCAGTATCTGCCTAGACAATCCTTCAACAACATATGCATAGCATTTATTTCTCACTGTGCTAATATGAAAACCTTTCCAGTAAAGCAAATTTAGAGACAATCTGGGATTATTGTATTTACATCCTAAAATTTATCACCTGATCTATTAATTCTAAAGGAATGGCTTTGAAATTCATGAAAAAGTGTGAATTAGAGTTAATTTAAGGGTGATGAGGGAAAGAAGTATGTTAGAGAAAGGATTAACTTGTGTGTATATGTAGGGGAGAGCTTTCTGAGCTGGCATGCCAAATATACTTATTCTTTGGGTCAATATTGTAATAAATAACTACCAGTATTGAAAAAAAGGTCAGTGTGACAGAGTATGCTGGATCATCTTGGAGCAGTCCTCCTTAGGCTCTGAGTGTCCCAGTAACCGTTAGATTCACGGGAAGGATTTCTTTCAGTTCTTGCCTATCCAGAAGCTTTGCTATGCTGAATGTTCATCAGAAGGAAACACTCACTTCTCATGACAGAATATAGCAACTCTGAGGGAGAGGGTTCAAGAGTTTTCCACAATCCTGTTTTTGATCTGACTTCAAGAATATTTTGTTCATGTTGTCAACTTATTGGGAATATTTGGGTTTTGAGAGTGGATATGAGCTGTAGTGACACATGAAGTTCTAATTTAGTCATTCCAGAATGCTCTATATTAAGAATATTAATACTCTGTCTCATTCCCAGATCATTGCTTCTTTTTCAACTTTGTTTTACAATTACTGTTTTTAAAGTCACTTGCTAACCCATGAAAAATGTAGTATAAGCAAAGTCCTGGGACTGTCAGGCATGGTGAATTTCCATTGCCTTTTGACATGGAATCCGTTGTGAAAAGTATAGGCTCTAGATTATAATTTTGGATAGGCACTTTAGCCAAATACAGAGTGGTTTCAAGTATGCAAATCTGTTCAGCTTTTTTGGTTTTAATGTTTTCAGTATGACTAGATACTTCTCAAAATCAAGATAATGACTCTACAGTACTGCTCATATATTCATATTTCTGATATTCCCATCCACCCTGACCTTGAATATTTCCAGGGATGGAGCATTTACTACCTCTCTGGGCAACCTATTCTAGTGTTTCACCACCCTTATCATGAAGTCTAGTCTAAGTCTAACCTCTTTTAGTTTAAAACTATTACCCTTTATCCTGTCACAACAGACCCTGATAGAAAGTCTGTCCCCATCTTTCTTACAAACCCCCTTTAAGTACTGAAAGGCTGCAGTAAGGTCACCCTGGAGCCTTCTCTTCTCAAGGCTGAATGACCCCAACTCTCTTGGCCTATCTTCACAGGAGAGGTGCTCCAGCCCTCTGATCATTTCTGTGGCCTTCCTTTGCATCTGCTCCAGCAGGTCCATGTCGCTCTTATGGTGGGGCCACAGAACTGAATGCAGTCCTCCAGGTGGGAGGGTCTCATGAGAGCTGAGGGGCAGAATCGTCTCCTTCGACCTGCTGGCCATGCTTCTTTGATGCAGCCCAGAATACAATTGGCTTTCTTAACTATGAGCACACACTGTCAGTTCATCTTCAGCTTTTCATTCACAAGTATTCTCAAAGCCTCCCTGTCATGACTGCTCTTAATTGCTTCATCCCACAGCCTGTTTTGATACTGGGCATTGCCCTGACCCATTGTGCAGCACCTTGCACTTGACCTTGTTGAACCTCCTGAGATTCCCAAGGGCCCACTTGTTGAGCTTCTCCAAGTCCCTCTGGATGACATCCTGTCCTTCAGGTGTGTCAACTGCACCACTCAGCTTGGTGTAATCTGCAAATTTGATGAGCATGCACTGGATCCCACTATGTCATTGATGAAGACATTAAATAACACTAGTCCCAGTACAGACCCCTGAGGGACACCATTTGTTACTGATGTCCATCTGGACATTGAGCAGTTGACCACTATCCTCTGAATGTGACTGTCCAACCAGTTCTTCATCCACCAAGCAGCCCACAAATCAAATCCCTATCTCTCCAACTTAGAGATGTTGTAGGGACTGTGTCAAAGGCCCTGCAGAAGTCCAGATAACATCCATAGTTCTTCCCTTGTCCACAGATGTAGTCACTCTATTGTAGAAAGGTTGGTCATGAAGACTAGCCCTTGTTGAAGCCATGCTGGCTGTCTCAAATAATATGAAGTCCTGTTTTTCACTACCTACTCTTCCTTATGGGAGAATAGAGTTTCCCAGGGTCTAGTATGAGTATCCTAACCCTTGAACTCCATTAGTTGGGATTTCTTAATTCTGTCTGCCAAAGCTGTTTGTTACTTTCATAACCATATAAATAGTCACCAGACTTAAGTTGACTTCTTTACTTTATCATGTCTCCGTCATGCTTTTTCCCACCCTTGTCTTAATTAACACATATGTTGTAATGTAACATGATCTGGTTTACAGAGTAAAAAAGGAGTAAAAAAAAAAATTCACATCTCATTTCCCGGTGCCTCTATACTTGAGGCTACACTGAATTCTTGACCTTATTTGAAAGCAGGTCAGCTGAGTCTGCTTAACTTTAGTACAAATACCTTTGTGGTGGACTCATTGGATGTTGTTGCTGATATTTGCATATGTGTTACAAACTCTGAAGATGTTCTTTATGTCTATATATTTATGAAGCTTTATCGAGTAAGTGTGAGACAAATCTTGGCTAATATGTGTTTGTGTCTGAAGCTTGAGTCGACATAGGATGATGGCATATTAGGGCTTTGCTGTTTGACCACATTCATTAGGCTGGTCATGCTTACTGGTGGAAACTTCAGTGCCTGCCCTTGCAATGTGCATTTCTGTGGTGTTAGATGGCAGCTGAAAACTTCAGCTGAACATAAAGTCTAATTGTAAAGTAACATGTAGGTACTTGCAAAGTGAATCTAGCCAGTACAGGTTACATTTGATGTGGAGAAGCGAAGAGTGCTTATTGGAAGTTACGGTTCATAATCAGGAAGTGCACACAAGAGATGTCTTTAAGAGAGACTGAAGCATGCTCCAGAGTTCCTCTGTCCTCGTTTGCTTGGAATGGAAAGCTGAGCGTGGTGCTTAGATGGAAGTTACGCTGTCCTTCAACAGGTGTCCTGATTATTCCAGGAATTAGGAATATGTCATTGCATGTTGCAGCAGATATGTTTAGATGCAATGCCCTTTTTTTTTGTTTTTCATAATTCAATTAGAAAACAAACAAAAAATTCTTACTATTGTTTTACTGGAAAGACAGAAGATCAGTGGTCTGTGATGTATCTGCTTGGTCCGCATAAATACATATTTTCAAAATGATGAGGTTGATTTTATATTAATAGGCTGATATGTAAAACTCATTGATTTATAAATATCAAGGTCTAATTTGTCTTATGGATAGGTGAACTCGTTAATTTATAGATATGTTACCTTGACCTTTGATATCACTGTTGTAATATGAAATTTTTAGTTCAGTCCACACAGATGCAGTTTTACCATGTGCCAAGTAATCTAGTGTATAAATGTAAGCTCGTTCTTTTTACTATTTCATTAATTTTATAATAATGTATTCTAACAGGGCAGATAGGTTCATGGTTTCCATATCTGGCTTAGCAGTAAGGGTTTGCCTGTTTCTTTTCCTTTCCTGAGTATCTTCACATAGACATTCTTATTCAGCTACCCACAGGTTGAATGGGCAAACTGTCTGTTTTGTCTTGGGCTAAAGAAAATATAAGGACCTTCCAGCAGTACTAAAAATTGTGGAAGAGGTTAACTGTACAAGCTGTAACTTAGAAAGAATTTTCATCAATCTATAGCAACGAAAGTCATCAGTCTTGGTATGGAGAGGGTTTGGTCTTATTATTTGAGAGTTTTACCTTAGCTCTCTGGTAAAAAGAACAGCATTGGACTAAAGGAGTACATCAACAGTATGAGATAGAAGATTCATGGTAACCCTTTCAGTTCTTTGGGGGATATGGAATATAACCAAATATCTAACACTCAAATGGCCTGTCTATGCTGTGACTATTATGCCACTGATAAAAATAGGTCCACAGTCTGTGGCATGTGAGGAATCATTGCTATCATCTGAAGAACATAAAAATTAAGGCTTGAGTCTATATTTGGACTTGGAAGAAAGTGGCTGTGGGGAATAAGCTAAAAATTCCTAGTCTTTCACACTAAATCCTCATGTAAGTCAATGCTGAAAAAAAACAAAGCACACTTGTGTCCCAGGTTCTCTAGAGATTACTACATCAGTTTAGGGTAAAATCAGCAGTAAGTAATATCTGTCTGCTCTTATTTTAAGTACTGTTAAGAATTTAACCAAAAAGGGAATTTGCCCTGTAGTCTTTATCTATATATTGAAAAAAAACATGGTTAGAAAACATGCAGATATAAGAAAAATTTCTGTCAATGTATGTCTGACGTGCTATTGTGGCTTCAGTTAAAAATGGCTTCCTTTACACCAACATATTTGTTTGAGCTATACTTACATAAATCTACCATAACTACATTCCCTGTTTTAGAGTGGCAGTATATAGAAGTCTGTAGTTTAATAATCTTTATATCTGATTGACAATTGAGGTTTGTAGACTAAAGGGTATCTAAGGTGAACCTGTTTCTGTCCCATACTGTGTGTATATATCAAATGGTGTATTGAAACTGCTATGTTACTATGTAAATCCAGTGAATGCTTTTCACACTACATAAAATTCCCTGCAAACCAAGAATGGTGAAAGATTTAATTTCGGAGATTTCAACATGAATATTCATTACAATTCTGCATCCTTTATAGGGAAAGGGAATTTATGTTTTTTAATTCATATGCTTTATATAATTCATCGTGAAACTATATCCATCAGTATAGGAAAAATCATGTACATACCTGTATTTGAAGGAAAGAAAGAATTTATTCCCTAGAAGTAAACTAATTTATCTGTGATGTTATTTGTAATTGTAGATTGTTACTTGTAATTGTAGATGTGAAGGACATGGAACTTAATGAATCTTACAAAAAAAAAAGTGTCACCCAGTTCGTTCTTTAAATAATGACATAGCTTTCATTAACCATATAATCAGGAGGTGTCCTTATGTCTGTATTATATAATCTAGTTTCACTTTTACTAGTTATTTCCAATTAACTCTTCTTAATGCAGACCAAATAATGAAATATATTTAATAGCACTCAAGAGTTTTGAAGGATACTATGCTTTCTACATAACTACAGAATGAATGACAAATATCATGCTTTAAGATTACAAATACAGCTATTTTGAATGCCAATGGTTGTCTGGATGCTGTTATGAAACACTTAAATATAGATAATTTTCAGGTTAATGGTAGGGCACTCCTTACTCTTTTCGTTGAACTGACACTTGAGAAAGCCTCTCGACCTTCGCTGTTCAGCAACTTCAGATGTACCTTGGACATCTTTTTAGTTTCATTAGCTCACAGAGCTCTGTGCTTGATAAGCTCATAGGCCAAATATCATTACTTGTCATCGTTCATTTGCTGGTTTTATTAGGATTTAGCAGGGCTCTTTGCAAAACTTGTTAAAGAGCAAGCCCTATTTATTACCTGTGCACCAAAACCTGACATTTTTCTGTATTTGCTTCTTAAAAGTGGGCATTCTTATGTGTCTGTTAAAAAAAGTAAAGAACTAAGATATTGTATATTAATAATACAGTTTTCAATCTAAGCGTTCCATTAGATTTAACCTCAGAGTTTACCATGTTCCACAATTTAGAATATTCTACTTGTTTACCAAAATACTTTGGTTCAGATTTACTCCCCTACTTAATTTTCAACCATTTTTTTAAAATATAAGTATTGTTGGCATTGTTTGTTACAGGATATGATTATAGCCTTGTTAATCCACATTTTGAAATTGCCTACTGTTCCCTGAATTAACAATAGATTATTTTCATAGTAGTCAAGCATCTATGCTTTTTTTTTTCATATTCATTAATAGGGAAAAAAAATTTTCTAACAATATAGTCAGAAATTCAAAAAGAACTTAGAACAAATGTTGTTGCTTTATAGAGTGTTGTAGATGGAAACGGTGTGGTAACAGTTTAGTGTTTTTCTTCTGGTTGTATAGTTCATATGAACTTTAACAAGAAGCAGCTGAATTAAAATGAGGTAAAACTTGTATCTGCTCATATTCTTGTAAGTGTAGTATAGAATCTGAAATATCATTGCTCTCCTATTTAGATGTTGTAATTTGTTTTATAGCTGCTTTTCATATCCTAAAGAAACAAAAAGAAACATTCCTGTTAATATTAATATCACTATCATGATAGTTTTTTATGATTAATTTTAGTTTGATAGCATTTTATGATGTGTTCTGTTTTAAACTGTGTTCTCTTGAAGGTGCTGTGTGTCCTTTAATGAAAACAGCTGTCCGCCATCTCAAACAAATCAACAGAGACAGTCGTGGTGTTTCAGGTAAATGACTGAGCTAGTGTCTATATTAATTGGCTAGTAGTGGATGTAATCATAGTCTGACTTAAACTGGCTTTAAAATTGAAAAGACAGAACAGAATGCCACCCCCAAGCTCCAAAAGCTGCTGCTGTTGTTAGGAAAGTGGGATTAAAATCAAAATGTGTTGTTCTTGGGAAGTATTGCTTCACGTTCGGCAGCCACACTGATTTCCATAGTTTTTCCCAATGATCCCGCATTCTTATCAGTTCAGATGATAAAAGGAAATAACAAATGCATTTCTCAGGTAGCAAAGTCATCTATCAACTGAATTTTGCATGAATAGTTTTGTTAAAATGAATATTGAAATTTTTTCTGTCCTCAAGTATTGATTTTTGAAATAGCTTGTCAGTCTGTATTTCAGAAAATCACCAAGCATGCTAAGAGTCAGTATTTACTTCTGGTTTTTAAATCCCATTAAATTGTATCATATTGTGTCATATTTTATAGGATTTGATCTGGCAGAAAGCTTTTCTTTGAGGCAAACACCTTGTGGAGGGGAAAAGATCTGTTTTAAACTGGGAAGTGCACCTCTCATTAGAGATACAAGGTAAGTAAGATACTACTTTAATCCTTAGTGATAGAATTCAGACCCAATGCTACTAATTAACTGAATTAACTAATTAACTGAATAACTTAGCAGTGTATTCAAAGGACACAACAGAAAGCAGTACATCTTGTTTTCAGGCATTTTGATCTGTAACAGTTTTTTTTTTCTGTGGGAAGCATTTTGATTTTGGTGTGTTTTTCTTTTGGAATCTGGAAGTATCTAGGTAGTAAGTTAATTGTGAATATCACTTTCTCAAATCATGATTTTGATACTGAAAACTCTATTGTTAATACATAAATGTTTATAAAACAAAGGAAACAAATAACTTTCATGGTATGACAAGAAGTATTATGCTAATCTTCCCTCAGTGAAGTTGGCTGTCCTCTCTCTCATTACTGCTGGCAGGATTAAAAAGACAGTGTCACCATTTCTTTGAATGTTATTTTTTTTTCCTGGAATTGACATATTACTTTTGAGCAGCAACAGGATGGTGGGTATTCACTGTAGAGGAGAAAGTAGGCAATATCCTATTCTGACATAGGGTGGGATGAAAGGCAGACTGCATAAAAAATCAAAAGGAAGGTGAAAGAGAGTAAGGCATAATGGGACTGAATGGATTTAAGTTTGCTCCTGGACAAGGAAGTGCCAAGAAGCAGTTAGGAATGCAGTTTCAGGTTCCCTGTACTCAGTGGAGCTCATCTCAGAGCTTCTTGGTTGTGTTGTGCTCTGAGTCATGGGACTGTGGTTTCTGTACAGCGTGTTCCTGCGATGATGAGGGAAGCAACTGTATTCCCATGTCTTCAGGTTGGGTATTTTCTGTTGCAAGAGGTCTGGCTCCAGCTTGCCTAGTTAAAAAATACACCTGGCTCTCGGGTTTCCCCTTTACTTGGATCCTGGGCGTGGCAAAGATGGACTGTGGGTAGCATGAGGCCAGGAAGGAGAAGGAAGAGAGGAATTGGAGGCACCCAGACAAAAAACAAAATGATCTTTGGGAGAGGAGCATGATGAAAGAAAGAGAAGCTAAATATCCTAAATTGCTAGATAGATTCCAAGTTTTTCTGACTTACTAGGTACTGTAAGTGCTAAGTGGTTATGCTTTTGTAGTTTTGCAAAGTTAAACTAATCATTGTCTTTTTTAAATACCACGGACATTAGCTATTAAAGAAAAAATTACTAGATAAAATTCCTTGACATAGGGAGTGCTCTTCTTTTATTAGGACCTTACCAATATTATCCATATTGCCTTTAGAAGAGGAGCAGGAGAAATTAGGTACCACCCATAAAATCTTTACTAAAAATGTAAGTTTGTTAGTAAGAAAAATTTCTTTTGAAAACCCATTCTTAATTTTTCTGATTTTTACAGATTTTTTTTTTCAGTAAATGAGATTTTGAGGGAAACATGAGACTACATAAGAGTAGAAAATCAAGGCAGTAACAAAAACTGTGGAGCAGTTTTCCGTTATGAATAAGAAGCTAAGTAGTGCTAAGAAATGTGTGTTGCAAGCTGACTTTATTTTGAAACAGTAAACAAATCAGTGGCAAAAATGGAGCAGACAGGAGCTATAAATTACAAAAGGGTGGATTATTTAAAATTCATATTACTTTGAGGTAAAATTAATGATTTGAAGTATTGATTTCTAAGAATTTCTAAGTGTTTTTGGAAGTAGTCTGAGAGGTGATGTTGAGGATAAAAAAATGTAAGATTTTTTTTCCCAGCTTCTATTAGTAGGCCTGAATACTAATGTCTGTGTTTTCTTTTCCTCTTTTAAAAGCAGTTTATTAGTGAAGGTAATGAAAATGGGGAATTCACACCATGGCTGATAGCTGTGACTTCAAGAATGTTAACTCTTAGGGAAGTTAATACTTTGCTGAGTATTAAGTTAATACTTGAGAAAGTTGCAATTTTTTTTTTTAATTTTTTTTTTAAACTTTATGGAAGAGGAGAGAAATCTAAGTTCTTTCCTCATGTATTTTATCTCTTCTCTTTATCTCTTTCCTGTATTTTATAAGCTTTTTGAAAGGAGTCAAAAATTGCTAGTTTTATTTCATTGTCAGTGTAACGGGCAGAGGCTAAAGAATTTCGGTGAAGGGTGAACCTGGATGGCAGGTGGTTTGGCTTTAATTGTCTCGGTTCTCCTGTTCCTCTCCTTCCCTGTTGTTGTCTTCCATGTGTCCTCATTAAGGAAAAGCTAAAGGGAAAATCTTTCCCGTTTCCCCTAAAAATATGCATATCTAATGGATAAAAAGTTTAGGTGGATGAGGCAACTGAGATGATTATTAATAAAATAAGCATATCCATGCTAATGTATAAATATAGTTAGGCTGAAAATTAATATCTCATTATTGATGAGAATAAGGTACAAGATAAGATTTTCAGTCCACTTGTTGTCGAATTAAGTAGTGCCTCTTACATATATCTTCCTGAACCATAGAAGGGTTCAAAGTATTTTCAATAACATTCAAGCACTGAAAAATTTCCATTAAATCCTAATACTTCATGGCAATAGTCTCGCTCATGCTTTTTTAACCTTTCTTCACAGAAATGCATGTAATTAAAAGTAAATTCTATTCCTAATTATATATGTTAAATATTTAATGACTTTCTGTTGTTGCGGTTACACTGTGGTTCCAGACATCGCGTGTTATTAGACGCACACAAGTTTTCAGGATCGTTCTCCCTCAGAAAATATTTTAGTAGACGTGGTGAGCAGTAAGAAGCAGAACAGTGTTTGTTATCCATCCTGCAGGAAATTGAGAGTATCTGATTAAGCTGACTAGCAAGTATCAAGTAACTTGGCACATCTCCTCTTGCATTTCATTCGTTCAGTCGTAGTGTGGGTAATAGAAAGCTATGCTGTGCCATTTTTCTTCTGTGATGCCATTTTGGTTTTTTTCAATGGACCTGGAATAGTGTTGCACCTATTTATATGTTGTAAATAATTTACAATGCTCTGTCAGCTTGGGAAATTGATTACATTTATTTATGCTGGATTTTAGTTATAGGTCTTTGTCTCTTTCTGTGATAGAGTTCTGTACATATTTTGTTTTGTGATAGGAGATGGATAGCTTTTATTATGTTCCACGTAATTTACTGTTAAATATTAATGTAATTCCAGTAATATTTTCTGGATTAAAGTGTGATTTTAAAAGTAAAATACTGTGACTTAATTATTGCAGTGCTTACGTGAACTTTAATAGAAGTTCTCCCTGAGGAAAATAGTGTAACTGAGCCTTTGAATCATAAAGAAATTCACCGGAAAAGACTGTTATGCAGACAGTCTAATTATATAGTCATAATCACACCATAGAATTATAGAATAATCATAATTGTGTAATGTTTTACTTTTATTTCAACAAATAAATTGTAGAGTCATATTTTTTTCTCCACAGTTTAACATGTACTGTCTATGTAGTATATTCCAGTGTGGTATAGATTTTTCTGACAAAAGCAACACAGGGCTCTGTGCTGATAGCAGCTCCATTAGGTCTGCCAGCAGTATTCAGTACTTCTGGACATGAAGCCTTTTAGGCTCATCTTTGTTATTCACTTGCCTTAGAGTAGATAGCACTATGAAGAATTAATTTCACTGTCTTTCCCTGGAGATGCATGAGATGTCAACTGTTCCTCATTCTCACTTTTCTGGGTTGCTGGTGGACCATTTTTTTCCTCTTCTGAAAGCACTAATAAAGGAGATAATAAGCTGATTTCGTCTGAGGTTCTGAAGTTTTGGAAATGGATGTTGATTATTAGCAAATCTTCATGGCACTGTCACAGCTTTCTTATTTTGTAGTTTGTTTGGCTTGACAAACCATATTAATTTACTGAGGAGATTATCATAGCTGGCTGTTAAATGATCTGAGTTACGGCACTTGGGATCACTCTCACGACTCTTTTAGGAATTCTTCCCTTTCATTCTAAGATACTACAAAAGAGCTTGGATTTTGACTGTATTTGGACTACTGAGCTCCACTAGCAATGTTGTCACTCACTGCTGCCAGAAGAGCTGTGGTCTGGCCCATATTTCAGGGAAAGTGTTTCACCTCTTTGTGATGTCTAGTTACTGGAGGCAGAAATACTGTTCCCACTTGTCTCAGTAAATTCCAGGCTGGAGGATTCTTTCTGCTAAGAACAGAAATTCATGATGAAAGAATATTTATGTGGGGGTTTCTGTTCATTTTTAGTGCTAACCTTTTTAATTGCAAAAAAATGTGGAGGGAATTCCATTTTGTAAAGCACAGCTGGCATGAAGTGAGGCAGTTTCTGTGCTCACTGTTAGAAGCCTTTTCATTATTAGCAGTATGCTTTCCCAAAGGCACCTATCTCTAGGTGGCTTTGCAACTATTTACTTTGCTGTATGTTCTCTGGCTGTATCTGCTGAGACCTCCCTCTTCACCAAACTAAAAAACCAAGTTCCTTTCATATGACTTCAGCTGTCAGTGAAGGTCCTCATGGGCACGATTTTTTATTAATTTTGCACATGGCATGTGTTTTGGGCAGCAAAGTCAGGTTTAACAGTCTTCTTGAAAAATATTTTTAAGATATATTTTTCTTAAATATAGTATAGAATAGATAGATGTGAAAATCACCAGTTTCCAAAAGATTTCATCAAAAACTTCTAAAACATTGGCCAAACATGGCAATGGGTTGTTACCCCTATTTGGAGGCAGTAGTTGAAATTATTCAAACCAACTTTTATCTGTGCTTACACAAAGTCTTGCTAGCCTTTGCCCTGTTAAAATATTAGATGGTTATGTAAGAAACCACCTTTCCTTTACTGTATCATGTATTTATTTAAGATCTTTTGAGCAGTTGGAGCCAACACTGCCAAGACTGAAATGTCTGGTATTTTGGTTGCAGGGTATTTTCAAGAAAAGGGCCTTGTTTTTGGAATTTGCTTCCTGAGTGTGGGAGCCTGAATGTAGTAAAAATCTTGATTGTTTTTTTCAGGTCTTTCACATCAGTGGATCAGAAGCTGTAGTGATTTAGTCTTTTTTTCCAA